TATTGGATTTACATAGTGATTTGCATCACGTTACACTATGTTTATTCTTCTGTTGACTGGCGGATTATCAATTAAAAAAAAAAACAATAACAACTTTATCATTTCAATAGACTCAAATTTATCAACAAATATAACCGAAAAAATAAACGGCTCCAGGGACTGTAAGAAAGATTAAACATATCTGATGCAATTAGCAATAGTGAGCCAATGACAAATATATTAAATATGTTATTATCAACTACTTATCAAATTACTATGAAAGGGCTTTATGTTAAAAAGGATAAAAAAAAAAGGCTTTACTATTAAAGAATAAATACGCCTGATTATTGGAACTGCATAGAGAGAGGAAAAAGATCATGACGGATACCATATAAAATATAAATTTTTATTTGTTTATCACGCATACGTTTCGCGTATGTTGAAAAATTGCATTACTACAAAAAATATAAATAACAGATAAAGGTTTCTTAAACTTTATATAGTTGCAAAACGCTAATATTTACGTGGCAAGTCGACACATCATTTTTTAGAGGGTAATTAATTACTACTACCTTTAAACTAAGAAGCTATAATTACTATATAGATGTCAATCGATTTTTTTTATTACAAATCTAGATATTTGTTAATTTTTATAAAAACATATATTTCGCGTAATAACACTCATGAGCGTTATTTTGAAAATCGTGCTACCGAAATATTATTTATATAGTTTCAAAATAATGCCCATATGCGTCCAAAAATAGCACGTACTCTATAGTAAAGATATTTATTTATAGTAAGATTTAAAAAAATAAATCAGAACTGAATTTTGTACTAAATAAACCTTCTTTTGAGCTTAACAAATGTTGTTCTTTAGAACAACATTTGTTAAGCTTGAAAGAAGGTTTACTTAGTACAAAATTTAGTTCTGATTTATTTTTTGTTTGTCTACTTTTATAAATACTTAAATTTTTTTGTTTCAAAATAACGCTCACGGCTTTATCCATCCTCCAAAATTGGTATATGACTATCACTTATATAATAGTATTAAAATAATTTACATTTTTTTTTTATTAATACATTTAGCAAACAAAATTTAAAGATATTCATTCATTAGTTGATTAGTTATTATATAAAATCTCAAAATCTGATTGGCTGGCCCAAAGCCTATAGGCACCCAATATACACAGTCAATAGAAAAGTTAGTTGATTTAAGTTATTGATAAGCATTAAAAACAAAAAGTCGTGAAAATAATTCAATTAATTAAAAACTCCATTCATTCTCCGATGCATATTGATGCCGTATAAGAATGAAATGAGAAATATTATTGATGTGTTTTTCTTGTGTTAAAATTAAACATCAAATTAGCTTACCATAGTGTTTATATTTTTCTAAGCTAGGCTAAACTAACTCAAGATATACGCACATATTAAGCTTAATTTAGGCCAAAATATTAGACTACACCCTGAAACGTTATTGTTATTTCAAGATAGTGCGTACGTAGTGATGGATTCATCTGCCCTGGTCAGTCTCACTCCCTGTAGGACTGATTTAATAGTTAAGAATTTTATAGTTACAAAATACATTCTTGTATTTTATTAATATGTTATATATGTGTATATATGGTGTTGAGTTAGTAGAAATCAAGCAAATCGGTAAAATCCTAATTTGGAGATAATCCAATTTTTGTATCACACATAGTAAACAATATCCAATCTAATCAGTACTAATCAGTCTACATCGGATGATCGGTAATCAAAAAATATTGAGTCAGTAGAAATCAAGCAAATTTATCTAATAAATTTGCTTGATTTCTACTGACTCAGTATTTTATATTTTTCTATTAACTCAGTATTAAAAATACTTACCCTCCGTCATTATTATTGTAACAAGCTAATGTTCATGAAAACTTCACAGCTATATAACTAAAAAAAATGGATCTGTCCCTTCACAAAATTTTGTCAAAACACTAAACTTTGAATTATTATACGTCTTTACGACTACTTAGCAGTATAAGTAAGCCTTTTTTTATGCTTAGATCTTATTATGTCAGGTCTTAAATTAGGATTGACCTTATTTTTTTGGTAGTTTCAAAGTGCTAATATTGTATTAACCTGGCACTATATTGTTATTAGATAAAGAGGATTGTTATAACTTAGAATTACGCATGCGCAAATTAGCTTTTAACTGCAACTAAAATTATACAGAATGTATTTTGACGATAGATTCAGGGTTAATAATAGTTTATTGTTAAATAGAGTAGGTTATTGTATGATATAACTTATATTGTCTCTTGACTCTTTTATTCCATTTTTTAAAGAAATAAAAAATATATATTTATAATTCTTCGATTATAAAAGTAAACAAAATATGAAAAATGATTACAATAAGCACTTATAAATAAAAAGTTATAACAGCCTTTATTCAATGAGACTGTACTGTTTTTTTATATTTAGTACACTAAAACTTGATCCCGTTAACATTAGCATAAAAATGATTATACGGCTGATTTAAAGCAAAAAAAAGGGAGACAACTAATCCTTAAATCCATTCTATTATACTATTGGTCGTTCAATATGTTTTTGATGCTCCGCTATTTAATATTCCGAATCTAATACTGGCATCTATCATTCCTAAAAAACAAAATTTACTTTCTGATTGAGACAATGCTTTTATTTCACGATAACGCTTAAGTGCCTCTTGTACATTAATATTTGTAACACAATGCTTTTGACAACATTGATTTTGTAATTTTTTTTAAATAAGTCTCATCATCCTGTTTTTCTAACCTAGTCAAAGACTTGCTTTCATTTTTAATAGATGCATATATAGGTTTAAGTGTATAAATTTTTTTAAACTCTTCGATTTGTCTTGAAGTAAAAACATCATTTACATCATCTTCTTGATCTTCTTCGAATGTTATATTGTCATTTACATTATCTTCTTGGCCTTCTTCGGATGTTATACTTTCGTCCTTGTTATCTATATCATCGTCACTATCACTATCATTCTTTAAATTATTAGTCTGATAAACTTTATAAAGCTCGTTTAGTTCATCGTTTAAAGTTTCCAATTCGCTATACGTTTCTAAAAAGATACTATCAAATAAAGAATTTTTAATTTTAGACATCAATAACAATGGGAAGAAAAAAAAATAAGAGCAAAGCAACTCAGGTCATTATAGACTACTTTATATACTACAAAATCGTAATAGCCTGTGCATTATCTTATCATCGTATTATTTCAAATATGTACATATGTGCCTACACCAACGCATCATTCAATATCTGTTATATTTGATATGCGTAATTCAGATAGACTCATTCTAAATAAATACTTATAAAAATAAAGTGTGTGATTTGATTGTACGGACCTGTTTCTTCTAAATATACTGTATCTGCATGCACTTCTCTTGAACTTAAGTATCCTGCCTTTTTAGTATGTTCCGACATTTAATTATTATTCTTAATATTGTTCAGTTTATCAGGTTCCCAAACAGTCTGACTTCTAAACACATTTCTATGCATCAACATGTGGATTCTAAAGTTCCCCAATCTTGTTTAGTGCAACATCATCCTACTAATTACCCTTTACTTACCAATATTTCATTATCTTCTATTATCTCATCACAATTTTTGTACAAATGTTTTTTCATCACATTATCGATTACACAATCCCATTATCATGCTATATACTCTCCCAACCGATTAACATTCTCAAAAGTATCATGCCATATTGATATTCTCGTCTAAAAGCAATACATCATTATCAAATATTTTAATCACTTAGAAAGGGTATGAATCGATTATTTTATAATATACATTGGATGATGAACTAACATTAAATATTATTTAAAAAAAAGTTTTTTTTTTACAATTTGTACTGCCTCAGTGTGTTTAGTATTTATATTATTTGGATAATATACTGTAGCTTGACCCTTATTCAACCATCTAACAACTCACATTACATATCTAATCTTCTTCACCGATCTTATTCTTATTGTCCTTTCCATCAGCTTTAATTGTATAAGCACAAGGTACTATTTTAATACTGTTACGTGATTTCAAGTATTCTTTTTTTTTTTTTTTTTGCTATTGTGCCTTATTAATGTCTAAAATTTCCTTCCTTCGTTCATTCACTGTTCATTCATTTGTCTGTTCATTCGTTCGTTCGTTCGTTCATATGTTCATTCGTTCATTCGTCTGTTCGTTTGTTTGTTTGTTCGTTCATTCATTTGTCTATTCACATGTTCGTTTATTCATTTATTCGTCCATTCGTTCGTACACTGCCACTTGGTTCCTTTGGTCACTCGAATTTCAACGAGCAAGACCTTAGTCTTACTCAGATCCTTTGCATCGTGGCATTACCAGTGCTCCTGATACTGATCTAAGTTTCTACAGGGTCTTTGTTTGGATCCGCCTAAGTACGAACCTTCACCCTAGGTTCTCTTAAGCATGAAACAGTTCATTATTATATTCATTATACTGCATTAATAAATTAATTATCGATAAGATTATGTTACATGATAACCCAGTACTAGAATTGCCAGGGTTGATCGATTTACATTTTTGGACTGATCTCTAGATCACAATCTTTGTGTAACTATAGAGCGAAAACTTTAATATTGTAAAATTTTATTATGCTAATCAAATTTTATTCTTAATTGAAAAATAATCAGCATATTGAATTCTATTATTTTATTGAAAAATCTCAATTTTGAAAAATTTTTGATTTGCTTGATTTCTACTGACTCAACCTCATATGTTAAATATTCATTGTAAAATTTTTTCTTTTAAAACAAATTTAATATTTTTTGTTGCGAAGTCTTTGGATTATAACTATGATGGCTATATTGCGATTGTCTAATTAATATATATCATTGGGACTTTCAAAAATTATGTTGCTAGTATCAAGGAAAACAAATACCCACATTCGATCGATGTGGTCCCATGGAACCGCAATTCATAGGCAGAAGTTCGTTTGATTGGTTAATTTTTGTAGATCTGCCCGTGATTATTAACTAATCAAATTCATAGCTTTATTTTTTTTTTTTTTTTTTTTTTTTTAAATTTAGCGATCATGTCATATTTTATTTAGAAATAAAGTAGTTACATTATCAAATGCT